CCAGAGTGGGAGAGCTGGGAATGGCAGGGCTGAGGTGCTGAGCTGGCTGGAAGGAAACTGGCTCCAGTTTGGGACTGTCTCGGTTCACCCCAGGTAATGAACCCTTCTGAGAGAGCAGATTGGTGCAGTCCTGCTCAGGGGTGCTCACCTGCTCCCCAGGGAGCTGGGAGGGCCTGCATCCCTGTCTTTTGGGAGAGCTGAGTCCGGCTCTGCGTTGCTTCAGTTCCTCCCCATCTTAGAAAATGAAGCCAAAGGCAAGAGCAGCAACTCCGTGTCTGATTCCAGGTCTCCCAGTTGAATTCCTCGATTAGGTGGGTGAGTGAGCTCTTCTTCCACCTCCACCCCAGCTGCATTTCTGCATCTGTGATTGCTGTGATTAAATGCAACTAAATTCTGCCAGCTCTGAAGCGTGAACTAGGAGGGGTGGTCTTTATATCAGACATGTAATTACCTGTCTACAAAATTATGAACGTGCACAAGGGAAAAAAAGAGGAAAAAGCAAGATCTCTGTCAAACAGGAGAAAGGCTGTCATTTTCCCTGTAATTTTTTAGGTTGTTTTCCTCCATTCACAGTAATTCTTAACCAGCTGGGAACCTGCTGCAGAGATCAGGCTGCCTGATAAGCCACCTGGTCACTGCTGACCTGGAATCTAGGTAAGGATACAGGACTTTATGTTTGAAAAGCCTGGAAAAAATCTCAAATCTGCAACATCTTAGCAGCAGGAAAAATCTATTTTCCTGCATAAGAAGAACATCTTTTTATGGTGGCTGAGCACTGAGTGGCAAGCAGAATGACAGTTTTTGTTAAATGCAAGTTACTTCAATAATTCATTTTTCTTACTAATCACACAGCACGTGGTTGGCTCCATGTAATTAAAGGAGAAAGGTTCCTGCAGCACTGTCAGGACGTTGATGGTGCTGATCGAGAAGGGACTCTGATTTCCTGGTAGGGTACAGATTATGTGCTAATTAAGGGGTTGACATGGAGTGCTATGTGTGTGTCCTGTGCTTGGAGACAGCATCTCCTCATTTCCTAGTGGTCCTTGGATTTGACCAAGGTCCCAAGTTATCAAAGCCTCGGATAATTTTAAATATGTGCTAAAGGCTTTTGAAGTCAATGGTGCTCAGGTTCGTGCTGCAGGCTCAGTTACACACTGAATTTTGTGGGATTGAGGCTGCTGGCTGGTCAGGGATGGATCCTCACTGGAACCTCTTCTTCCTCAAGGACACACCTTATCCCTGGACCCCACACAGCAGGCTTGAAACGCCTCAGTGCCTGTCACTGTTAACTTTTTTTCCTTTTAAACACTAAAGAGCTTGAAAGGTTTTTTTTTCCCTGAGAAATTAAATGACAGTATATGTAGGAGGAAAAAAATATCATCTCTGGCTATATTATTTTACTGTGCCAAGCAGTGGGGAGGCCTGACAGAGGATTACATAGTGGAAAAGGCTTGGTTTTCTGTGCATGCTTTAATGACTGGACCTTTGTTCTACCTCTTAACTGTGATCATTTAATAATTCCTTGACTCCCTTTGCCCTCAGCACGATGTTGCCTGTAGCTTCATTGCCTTGAAGGACACAGCTGAAATTAAAACTGTAATGGAATGATTCAGTTGGTAACACAGGTTACCCAACAGCTGCCTGTGGAGTGGCCTTTGTGAGCATCCTTCAATACCAGAATGCTTCCCTAGACAAAAATTAACTTACAGATGTTAATGTGGTCAGTTCCCAAGGCATGGAATTGTGGAATGGTTTGGGCTGTAAAGGACCTTAAAGCTCATCTCGTTCCACCCCCTGCCATGAGCAGGGACACCTTCCACTAGCCCAGGTTGCTCCAAGCCCTGTCCAACCTGGCCTTGGACACTTCCAGGGATGGGGCAGCCACAGCTTCTCTGGTCAACCTGTGCAAGGGCCTCCCCACCCTCACAGGGAAGGATTCTTTCCCAATATCCCATCTAACCCTGCCCTCTGGCAGTTTAAAATCATCCCCCCTTGGCCTGTCACTATCTGCCTTCATAAAAAGTCTCCCTCCTCTCCCATCTTTAAATCCTGCATGAAAAATCTCAACTGAATGTTTAGCCAAGAGCAAAATGAAAGAAAATTCTCTGGTTTAACTAAAAGAGTTGGAAGCAGATTTAGACACTTTTGCACAGTGGACCCCGAGTTGCTCTGGGTACAAGAGTTGCTCTGTTCTCTGAAGAGTTCAGATTTAAACATCCAGGTCAGACTGGAGATGGGAGGGGGAGCCAGCTCCAGGGGAAGGTGACATGCCTAAAGGTGGCACAAGAGGACAGTAGCAGAGCTGGAATTCCACCCCAGGCCCCCAGTTTTGTGCCTCTGCACTGTGCCAGCAGCATTCCTGGCTGCTCCTGGAGGGTTGGCAGCTGCATGCAGGTGTGGGCAAACCCTGTGTGGAGAAGGACATTATTACCTACAAGTCACCATGGTGTGTAAAGAAACTGTGAGAAACAATTCTGTGTACCCTGAATAGCTGGGGAGGCCTCCTGAGGTTCCCTGCAGCCTGGGAGAGGAGCTCCCTGGGGGAGGAGGTGGCTGACAGGGCAGAGTGGTCAAGAAGAAGAAGAGAAAGCTTGTTTTGACTGAATATACCAGGGGACTTTAGTTCTCTGGGCTCAGCCCAGTTCTTGCAAGGAAATCGTTCCCAACTAAATCCCCAATCCAACAAACTCCCCCAAAACCCTCCTTCACTGGAGAAAGATCTCCCAAAATCACAGAATTGTTTAGGTTAGAAAAGCCCTCTGAAGTCATCGAGTCCAACCATTCCCCAGCCCTGCCAAGGCCACCACTGACCACGTCCCCAAGTGCCACATCCACCTGGCTTTTAAATCCCTCTAGAAATGGGGACTCCACCCCTGCCCTGAGCAGCCTGTTCCAAAGCTTGAAAACCCTTTCCATGAAGAAATCTTCCCCAGTATCCAACCTAAACCTCCCCTGGCACAACTTGAGGCTGTTTCCTCTCATCTTGTCCCTCATTCCCTGGGAGCAGAGCCTGACCCCACCTCCCCCCTGACTCAACCCTCCTGTCAGGGAGTTGGAGAGAGAAAGAAGGTCCCCCCTGAGCCTCCTTTTCTCCTGGCATCTCTCAACATGTCTGGAATGACATTCTTCCTTTGGGGACAATAGTTTGGCCATGCAACAGTTTTTTCAGTAGTTTCATTAGATGTAGAAGGTGATGGTGGTGTCTGTGGTTGGAAGCTCCAAAGCAGACTTCCCTGTCCCTGCTCCTCTCTCTCTTCCCAAGGTGCTTCGTCAGGGTCCAGAGAAAATCAGATCAGATGAAATCCTATTTTGAGTGTCTCGTGCCAGGTTTAATTCCTTGCTCTGTGTCTCTCTCTGGAAGGAGTCAAGTGTCCTTGACAGTACCTGTCCCCTCTGGAGAGATAATTCTTTTGTTCCTCCACTTGTTCCTGTACCCTCTGTCTCTCCTTTAGTCTGGCCCATTCCCTAAATGACCCAAAAATGCCCATGCTCCCTCACAACAGAAATAATAACAGGAGGCAAAGATTCCAGATGAACGTTGTTCTTCTGAAATCTTCATTTACAGTTAGTTTGCAGCAGAATTTTTTTAGGAAGAATAAATTTCCTGTAATGGGAGTGAGTCAGCATGGATATATTGCAGGTAAATCATGTCAGACTAATTTGATCACTTATGCTAATGAAATAACTATCGGGCTGGATGGTATAAATCTATCTGGTTGCCCACAAGGCTTTAAGAAAATTTTGCCTGATGGATTATGGTCCAAACTCCCTCAGTGTAGGTTAAAATAATCTATTATTGAAAAGGGTGAAATACTGGGAGGAAGACAGAGCCATGGCTTGAAGCTAAGGGTGAGTGTCACTGAGGAGGTGACCAGGGAGCAGATCCTCTGCTGGGGCTCTGTAGTATTTTTATTAAAGATTTACACAGCACCGCAGCATTTGGATCATTAAATTTGCAGATGATACAGAGCTAAAGGGATCAGGCAAGACTTACTGGCCTTTCTTTGCAGGGAAATTACTTTTTGGCAGTAAAATCTTGCTAAATTATGTAGGGAGACTCAAACCATGATCTTGACTGGACCCAGATGCTCCGTGGCAGTTGCAGAACTGGAGGTGCAAAGTGGGGTCTTTGCAGTGGAGATGGGGAGGTTTGTGCTGGAGGGTGTGGAGGGGGAGAGGCAGCACCAGCAAGAGGACACAGAGAGGGTTTTCCTTAATTTTTTACATCTTTTTAGAGTCCTTAAGACGCTCTCACCCTAAGCATTTGCCCAGCAGTGTTGGATAAGCGGGAGCAGCTTTCAGAGTGATGTGCTGACTGTGCTGCTGCAGTGACAGTGGTACCTCCACGGCTCTTCCAGCCACCCTGGGAAACAACGTGCAGGCTTTGGAAGATGTTCTATAAGTAGCAGCTGATTTGTCACATGAGACTCTGAGCAGGGGAAGAGTGAAAATAACAGGAGAGTGATTTTTCCTCTATTTTGGTCTCTGATTTAAATAAGCTCCTGAGGCAGCATTCGTTTCTGGGAGAAGAGTGAAGCTTTTGAATTGAGATTTCTGCCATGGGAGTGAACACCTGTATTTCAGAGCCAGTGTAGGTGTTTAAACCTGGCCAGTTACACTCACAGCAGACCCAGATACTCCCAATTTCTTCAGCATTGCGACACTGAAGTGCAAACCTTCAGGCAGTGGTTATCATTAACAGAAGGGCAAAAATATTAAAATGTAACCCAGAAAATAAATCTGTTCAATAAATCAAAGGCAGAAGCGAAGATGAAATCTGAAATCCCTGTGTAGTGGGTATAACTCATTCCTACTGCTGGTTCAAAATCAACCATCACAGGGGAATTTAATGGTACCACTGTTTAGTGAAATTAGACTTGACACTGGCCAGGGACCTGTTATTGTGGTTGGGGAGGGTTTGCAATTGTTTGACACTCATTAGAAATCCCAATAACCTGTTTAAGGGCAGGCAAATTCAGATTCCCTCTCTCCTTCCACAGTTACTCATCACACCACAGCCCTGTGCTAATTGGAAAATGACTGGGGGAGGAGCAGGTCTGGGCCAGGCTGTCCCTGGAGCAGGGAACGCGCTGGGGCTGGTCCCGCACAGTGTCTGGTCCTACCCGACAGCCCAGGAAAAACCTGCAGGAAATGAACACCACCGTGGCTTCCCAGATCCAAAATAATTATTCATCTGTAACGATCCCGGTAATTCCTTTATGGGAATTCAACTCTGTTTCCTTCAGGGCCTCCAGCAGAACACACAGTTCCCTACCTGAAACTCGGTCCTGGCTTTTTGTTGATTCAGAGCCTGCCAGTGAGTTAGAGAGGTTTGCTGGTCCAAGCCACACTTCCAGGGAACGGACCTCTGAAAGCTCCCAGGCAACAGGGTAATCATGGAATCCCAGAATGTTTTGGGTTGGAGGGACCTAAAAGACTGTCTTGTTCCACCCCCTTCCATGGGCAGGGACACCCTCCACTATCCCAGGTCGCTCCAAGCCCCATCCAGCCCTTGGACACTTCCAAGGGATGGGGAAGCCACAGCTTCTCTCGGCAACTGTGGGTAAGCTGTGAGCTCCAAGCCTACAACCTTCCACCTCCAGCTAGAGGGAATCTTGTTTAGCTAAACCAGAATGGAGTGGAATGGGGGAAAATTTAGCTAATTGGGCTGTGCAAGCTGTCTGGGAAACACCATGAGGTCCTGCAGGGAGACAGGCAGGTGCAGAGAGGCTTCCTAGAGCTCACACCTGCGCGAGGAAGCAGTGAGGTGTGACAGGAACAGATCTGGGGAGTGAAATGTTTGGTGTTGGTCCACTGTGTGTGTTCTGGGGGGAATTCCTTGGGTTAGGTCTGGTCTGGCCCCGTGGCTTGGAGCATTCAGTAGCAGCTGGGTGTGTTGTGTGGGTCTCTGGAGCTCATCTTATGGCTGAAAGGAATCCAGTTCTGCAGCCTGGATGTGATTGCAGTAGAGGGAAGGTCAGGAGAGTCACCCCAAGGGGCTCCAGACTGAACCAAACACCGACACAGGCACAGAGGGGTCAGGGAGCTGGTCAGAGCAGCCTCTCAGTGCTGCAAACAGCAGGTGAAAGTTAATCTGAGCATGCACAGCCTGGTTTATTGTTTTGATAACACATTCACTCTGAAATGCTGTTGTTCCAGGGAAGCAATACTGTGCAGTCAGGAAGTTGCTTGTTCCATGATTAGCATCGCTGCAGCTCCCGAGGGAAGGGATGGCACTGTCTGGGCAGACTTGGAACCTGCTGAGAGCACTTGCACCTGGTACTCCACCCAGGATCCAGTCTGCAAGTGGAAAAGTTGCCACTGATGACTTGGAATTTAGGAGCCAAGAGCTGCTGTGCTGTGTGGGACCGCGTCGAGTGAGGGCGGTGAGGAGTGGAGTTCACCCAGCAGCTGTTTCACGAGTGCCCAGCTTGGCTTGGCGGGAAGGTGAACAGGTAAGATCAGCTCCTTCAGTTTATTCTCTGCAATACATTCATTTTTCATCTAGGAAATACACCCCTTGTATCCCACTGCCCGAGTCCGTGAGTTCCCTGCATATCCAAGCAGCAGATGAATTGTGGCAGTTCATCTTCCAAAAGCCAAGGGAGAGGTGGAAAAGGGACCCCTGTGTGTCGGGGCGGTGATTGATCCCTGTTTATTTTTGCTCAGATGCCAGGCTGGGGTTTGAAATAGAAAAGCAGGATCCTGTTTTGTGGAGTAACTTTCGGAGGGGGCCCTGAAGGAGGAATGTAAGACAGGGCTGAAGAGATCAGACAGGAACCAGGAGAACAAAAGGCAGCACTGTTGGAGATGTGGGAGTTGGTGCTGGATGAAGCAGGGCCTCCCGCTGTTCGCGGCTCGCGGCTGCCGGGGCCAGGCTGGCATCCCTGAGCAGGGGGAAATGCAGGGAAGAGCTAATCTATCCAAACAGAAGGACAGACTTAGCTTGAGAAGATGAGCATGCTGAGCTGGTTTCTGCTCTGTTACACCCTGAAACCTCGCTGATATCCGTGCAGCTCCCCAGCCGGAACTCGGAGCAGACGGGGGTTCTTTATGCATTTTCTCCAGAGCCAGACTGGTGAGGATTTGGTGAGGACTGGAGAAACTGATACTGAGATTTTCAGCTCGGCAGGAGGGAATCTGTGTTTGCTTAATTTGGGAAGAGACAGTCATATAACTTACAGTATGTGAGGCTTAGGCAGAAATATCCCCCGAGCATCGGACAGAGTTCGAGGCAGCCAGGAAAAGTCTTTCAGGCTGCCCGAGCCGTTCCACAGCACTTCCTCCATTCCTTCAGGTACAAAGAGATGCCTGCTCCAAACAATCTGTGCAAGGACTAGACTCCAGTCTAGCAATCCAGGGATTCCTACAGCCACATGTAGTCTAACCAACCACTTGTATAATTTTTCCGGAAGGTGAGTTAAAAAGCACCTTCTGGAAAACACCAAACCCCATCATTTCACCTGGCTCCCTGGCAGACTCTTCCAGTGCTGCACAGCCTGCACACCTGTTTCTGTCAGGTTTTACTTCAAGGTTAAATGTGCAATCACTGTTCCCCAAAGCCCTCTCCAGCAATTGCCATCCCCCTTATCAGTGCCTGTAGCAGTGACCAGATCCTGCCTCAGTCACATCTTGGACAAGCCAACAGCCTTGGGCTCCTTCAGGAGCCACAGGACAGCCTCCATTCCCCAGCTTTGCAGAGCTGCTCCTGTGTTTTCTCTTTCTCCATGAAGGAAAGAACTCAGCCTGAATGTGGCCTTCCAGCAGGTTGTTGGAGCTGTGTGCCAGAAGGGATCATCCATTGTCCCTTCTAAACACCCAGGGATCAGAGTCCCCCCTTTGTGGCAGCTTTAGGGCTACAGCAGATCCCTGTGATGTTTTCCAAGTTCTTTTCCAAACAATTCCTTTCTGAGGCAGCATCCTGTGAGTGTAACCTGCATTTCTGGTTTCAGATGTCCTACCTTGCATTTGACTTTTTAAATCATGTTTCACTGGCATGTGGCCAAGTCTCAGTCATGTCAGATCCCAGTGTATTGATAGTCCAGTCCTGCTTCTTGTTCCCCTCCCACCAATCTTGTTGGCATCTGCAAACCTCCCCACAACAAGGATTTATACAGAGTCATTTAGATCATTGATAAAAATATTGAAGAGAACGGTACTGGGAGTTTCTCTCTCCTTTTATCCCAGGCATTTTTACCCAGTGTAATATTGCTGTATGTTTATTGAGTTGTGGCTATTGGAACATCCAGTAAATATGCCTTTGAAGAGCAGCCAGTTTCCAGGAATGCTTTCCACCTTAAATATATATTCCCAGCCCATTCTGCTGGCAACTGAGGTTAAGGTTTGGGAAGCCAGAGGTGTTAAATGCATAGGGGTGTGTGTGTGTCACTGCTGGTGCCAGGTGTTTGCACAAGTGTAACCAGGTCATGCCCTGTGGGGTGGAGGCAGCTCATTGGTTTTTGGATCAGGAACTAACTCCTTGGCCTCCCAAGGTCCAGCAGAAGGATTTCCCATGTGGATTGCAGCAGTTTCTGAGCTGAAGGTGGTGTTGTTTCAGAAGAGCTCCTGTTCCTGGCTTTATGAGGTGCCTGGGAGCTGATCTGGGCTGCAGCTCACCACAGTCGTGCACCTTTGCCTCATGCCATCGTGTGACAGCCAGGCTGGACCCCGTCCTTGTGGGGGTCCCCACCTCAAAAACTCTTAATGCACATTTGGGATGTTTCTTTTCAGTTGCCAGCCTGGCACTGAACCCAGCAGGGAGCAGGGCTGCTCTGATTGCCATGCAGTGAGGTGGATCTGCAGGCTTCTCCAGAGCCAGTCCAGGTGTGCACAGGTCAGTGCATTCCCAGCACAGCAGTGCAGGCACCAGTGGGGCAGGAAGATTGCCACAAACGATACCTTTGCCACCAACAACCCTTTTTATGGGTTGTTTAGGACCTCTAAAGGGTGCAGCCCAGGAGCTCATTTAGATCACAGGTTATGAGGTTACAAACCCAGGGAATTGTTTATAAATATCCCCTTCACCCTCCAAATCCCAAATCCCAGGCTTTGGGAAATGTGGGTGTTGTAGGATCTGGCTTCACACTGGCAGAGGTTTAGGTGGGATATGGGGAAGAAGTTCTTGGCTCTGAGGGTGGTGAGGCCCTGGCACAGGTTGCCCAGAGAAGCTGTGGCTGCCCCATCCCTGCAAGTGTCCAAGGCCAGGCTGGATGGGGCTTGGAGCAACCTGGGCTAGTGGAAGGTGTCCCTGCTCATGGCAGGGGGTGGAACGAGATGAGCTTTAAGGTCCTTTCAACCCAAACCAGTCTGTGATTCTGGGATTCTATGATTTTGTGGTTCTAGGATTCTGTGATCTGCCCCTTTTGCAGCACTTCCCAAGAGGAGAGGTGTCAGGTGGTCAGGACAAGGACAGCTCTTGTGCCAGCAGCTGTGTAGCAAATCTCTATGCAGAAATGCATCCCAAAATCTCAGATCTGGCCAAATATCCCCAGGCTGGTACAGCAGAGCGCGAAGGAAGTGGTTGATATTCAGAACTTGGTCTTTAGCTGCACAGGAGCTGAAAGCACGGGCATGTCTGTGCCTCTGGGAGAGAGGCCCGGGGAGCAGGGCAGCCTTTGGCACAGGAACAGCAGCTGCCCCGTGCAGAGCTGGAGGCAGAACAGTCATTGTGAGCAGGAGGTGACTTGGCCTTCAAGGAGACACAGGAGCTGCTCTGGTTTGCAGAGCCTGGGCCTCGAGTCCTGATCTCACAGTGGGGTTGGCTGGGGAGCTTGGCACTGCCAGTGGGAAAAGGCCATGCAAAATAAACAAAACAGAGTCCCTTTGACAGGAATCAAGGAATTCTGACTGTACACAATATCATCCAACTGCTTCATTTCGGGGCTATTGCTCATGGCTTACAGGCAGGAGGAAATTAGGGAAGGCAGCTCCTGCTACACTCAGCTCAGTGTGGCCTGGGAAAGCCTTGGGCAGCCTATCCCCCATCCCTGTCTGCTTTTCATTATTGTTTTTATAGCCAGAAATAAGAGCTTTATTGGCTTTATTCATCTCCTGTCAGATGCCCAATCAACATCTGGCAACGCAGCAATTCCCAGAAAGTGCTGACCTAGTGAGAGCCAGCAGAGCAGGAGGTGCAGAGGAAGGTCTCCATCCCCCTTCCCATCCCTGACTGCCCTTTTAATTATCTTCCCAGCCAAAGTGGGATGTGTACCCTCACCTCACCCTTGCTGCCTGCCTGGAGTTCAGAACACCAGGCTCGTGGGATTTCCTGGGCTTGGAAGGCACCTGAAGGAACATCAGTATGGAAACAGGGGCAGAAGGAGCTGAGCAGGAGCCAGGGCATCCTAAAAACTGCTCCCGGGCTGGAGCTGGCCCGTGAGTGGGGAAGAGACTGGACAAAGGGATCAGAAAGGAGCTGATCCCTTGCTTTGTGCAGGGCCTGGCCAGTGTCAGAGGGATGCACATGGCAGGGCAGAGGAGCTCAGCTCTCCCTTCTCCCCTTTGCCTTTGTTTGCATTTGCACAGGACTCAGAACTTAGGCATGAAAATACAGGGATTTTTGATAGTTTCCTGCAAGTCAGAGGATTTTAAGATCCAGCAGAAGATTGACTAGAGAGGGACCCATTTTTTTTTACTTCAGTGCACATTGAACTCATAATAAAATCGGGTGTAACAAGCCAGAGGCAATTTCTGTTCCATTCAGAGATTAGCACGAGTTGTGGCTGCTCCAGCAAGTCCAGCAGGTTCCCTGTCAGATCCCTGGGCTCCCACACTGGATCTCTTGAGCCCCCTTTTCCCACATGGTCCCACCCTGACTGCTCCCGTGGGTGTGGGTGGCTTGGTTTGTGCTCTGTTGTGGTACCTGCCCTTCCACATCTTGGCTTTCCTTTGCTCCCCTTCTCCTACATTCCAGCTCCAGCCAGTTGGTCAGGGCAGTTCCTCCCCCTTCTCTGCCAGGATCTTCTCCCCACATTTTGGTCTGGTTTTGCTGCCCACCTCCATGGGAAGTTCCCTCCCGTTCCTTTGGCAATCCTGTCCCTCTGGTTGCTCTCCTGTCCTGTTCCAGCTGCTGCCCAGCTCTGTGAGTGCTCTCCTGCCCACAGATCCTCTGTGGGCTCTTTGGCCCCTCTGTGAGCCTTTCCCAAGCCTCCACACCGAGACACCATCTAACCAAGGCCACTTTGTGGCTTCAACTGGTCTTGTCACCTTGTGCCTGAGGAGCCTTCGGTGCCCATCAGGAGTAGAGCGGGTTCCCCCTTCCTCCTGCCCAGAAGTGGAGCTTCTGGGGGAGATGTAGCCAGGGCAGATAGTCTTTGGCACTCCATTGGAAAAGCTGTAACCCAGCATGGTCTTGGCTGGGTCTTGGCTACCCTGGGAGTAGCAAACCCTGCCACGAAACAAGGACTCAGACCCTTGTAGCCCACCACGACGCCAGGTGCTGGGAGACTGGTCCCATCCTGCCCATTTTTGGGATGTGCAGGCACCCCAGAGCTGGGTGTCATTGCTTGTTCTGTGCTCCAGACCCGCAGTGAGAGGTACAGCTCTCTTAGAGAAAGGGTCCCCCTGAACTGCCTCATCAGCTGCCCGCTCATGTGAGCAAATGCCACCAGTGCGAGCCGAGGCACCGCAATCCAGCCCATAATGCTCCTTTAAAGACATTTCAGCAGCTCAATTAAGTTTCCACTTGTGTGTTTTCTTTCTCCCCGCTTTGCTTTCATGGTCATTTAAAACAAATAAAGTGAGCAGAACACGGCAGCGTGATAACCACCCTTTAATTCCCTTCCCACGGGTCTCCCGATTATTTGGTGATTCAGCGGCAGCGGGGGGAACATTTACAGAGGGGAAGGCGGGAGCTTCCCACAGGGACACAGCTCGCAGCCCAGGGCCCCCGAGCCTCGGGGAGGAAGTACGTGCCTCGGGTTTTCCCTCTGAGCCCCGTGGATGTGGTGAATGCCGTGCAGAGCCGGGCCCTGCAAGAGCAGCGTCCCCGCTCTCAGTGCCCTCGTTGTTCTCGCATTGTGCGCCGGGGACGGGACCCGTGCTCAGGATGTATTTCATGCTTCTGTGCAAACACAATATGAGATGAAGAATTCATACCCTTGCACAAGGAGACCAGAGTGTATTTTCTCATAATAAGGAAAAGCAGCCAGATCAGAGCCTGCCAATTCCTGCCCCGTGCTCCCGCCTTCCCTTGGAACTTCAAACAAGCCTGTGCTTTTACACTGGCGCAGAGAAGTGTATTACGTTTTTTTAAAACCCAACACAAATCCTTTTGGATCTTTTTTTACGTTATTCTCCCCACCTCTGTCTTGGTAGGTGACTTTTCCAGCCCTCCCCCACTTGGTCTGCTGGGTCTGAGTGGAGGTAAAGGAGAATTCCATGTGTTTTGTGTGTGTGAACAATTAATAGTGGTACAGTGTCTTGCTGGAAGAGGGTGTAAAACAGACCCCAGGAGGGGAAAAGTAACCAGCCTGCTGAACACTCGGGAGCTTTTCCTGTCCTGTAGGCAAACACCGTGTGGGGGTTGGTTTGCTTATTCATCAGCTGCAGTAAATAACGGGCCTCACCTTGAGCTCTCCTTCAGCCACTTCTCCTCCCCAGCCCCCCGGCTGGCAAGGAAAGGGAATATTTACTGTCCTTTGGGTGACAGACTGGGGGTTTATAGCTGTTCACATTTTAGCCTTTGTTTCCTCCCTAAAGAGCTCTGTTTTGTTCTCTGTGGCTTTGTCTTCCCCAGCACCTGAAGCCTCTTCTGGAGTGTCCAGCCTGACCGTGTACTGAGCCCCTCATTCCCACATCCCAGCCAGGCACTGTGCATGGAGGTGCTGCTCTGGGCAGGGCACAGGATGCACCTGAGTCACTTCAGACATTTATAATCTGATCTGTGAGAGCAGCACCGTCAGCAGCTTTTCCTCCCCCTCGTGCAGTACCCAGAGACGTGTTCCCATCCCTGGGCACTTTGGAAGTCCCAACAAGCCACGAGTGGCCAAGACCTGCCGAAGCCTGTTGATCCAGACACTGGATTCCTAAAACCTTTGCTTTCCCCAACACCTTCATAAAGTGTCCTGAATTAAGGTGATTCAGGGAGCACATTTCCAGACTGTCAGAGAGCTGCATCCATCACTCCCCTGAACATGCACCAGATTGTTAATGCTCCAGGCCAAATACCACGTCTTTTTTAATGCCTACCAAATGCAGTGTGTGCTGCTGGCTTTATATTTATAATAATTATTACAGGAACGGCAGTACCCACATTCCTATAGGCTGAAAGTGGTCAGGAACAGACAAAAAAAATGATTCATTGTTCCAATTAATGCTGGAGCTCGCACCGGTGATTAATTAGCCTGGCGATAGTGCCATGCAAAAGATCAGGGTGAGAATTAATAGGGAGACACGTGCTGACTTTTAAGAGGGTTCCACCAGTGTTTGGTGCCCTTCCTTGGGCTGCCTCAGCCCGTTAATTAGAGGCACCGGCGCGGGCTCGCTCCGCACCGACAGACCCAACGGCTGGCGGGGCGGAATATTTATATGACAGTGTGCAGCAGAAAACTTCAGGACTAAATTCCCATCCAGGTCTCTAAATATAATTTTGAAATGTCAGAGGTGCTGGGAAGAACGGCGGCGCCGCATGAGGTTGCTGTCAGGGAGAGGCAATAGTGTGCCAGATTTATACTGGGCTGAACAGGCAGGTGACTTTTCAGCTCCTGTGTTTCAGGGAGCCTGAAGTGCTCTGATGGACCTGTTCCACCCGGTGGGAGGCAGAGAATCCAGTGGGAACACGTGCTGCAGCTTCGTGCACCTCACTTGGATGGGTGAGATGGAGCAGGGGCAGCTCCCGAGAGCCTGCGCGTCCCCACGAGGCACAAACCACTCAAGCACCAGCCTTTGAAGGTGAGCCCTCTTGGCAAAGTTTCTCCTCCAGGTTTTATCCATCACTCCTTCTGCTGCCTCATTATCTTTTCCTTCTGCATATTGGTCCTCCCACTACCCCAATTCATTTTGCTATTGACTGGTTTGTAGGGATGGGGTGTAGCCAGTCCTGCCCCGGCTGAGCCCGAATCGCTGACGGGGCCGATCACTCTGATCACACATCAATCTGAGAGCACAGGCAAAGTTCCATCCTGCTGAATTAATTGTTAGGAGCTGCAACCCCAATGTCTTTGTAAATAAAATATTTTAATCTCATGGGGCCTGCCTGGAGAGAGGGGAATAAATACATCAATATGTAAATGGATCCACAAGAGGAGGATGAACTGGGACTTTGCAAAACTGATAAAGCATCTTAGGAGACGTGTTGTCACTGCACTTCGTGCATATTCTGATGAAGCAGACAGAGAGGCTGGATCTGAGCCTGGGTTGGGGGGGGGAGGAGGAAGGGAGGGAGGGAGTAGTGTGGGCACCAGCACACCGTGACTGAAATTCTTGTATGGATTGATTTGACTCAAATATATTCCGAGGCTCGTCTAATTGCTCCTTTAGTCTCAGGCTTTGATTTTCCTGTTGTTTTCACGTCCCTGTTGCTGAGTCTTTCCTGCATTTCAAGCAGCCTGGTTGGGGCAGTGTCCAGACCAAGCTGCCCCTCTGTGTGACCAGGAGTCAGTACCTGTCCTTGCCGAGCCCTTCCACAGAGCCTCTGCAGCAAAGTGGGCACAAAGAGTGAAGGACAGTGAAGGTCAGGCTTTTGCTCGATCCGTGTTTTCTCTGTGTAACAGCCTTGGGGGTTCTTTTGGAAAACAAAGCCTGAAGCTTTTGGGACAGCTCGTTCATGATGGGCCCGTGCTGGTGTGACCCCCATGGGAGATCTGAGGGAGCTGGGGGAGAAGGTGCAGTGAGCAATTTGCTCGCGTGCATCCTGCAGGATCCTGCCTGGCTCTCCCTCACCTCTCCTGCCCTGTGCCCTGTGCTGTGTTACCCCCTTCTCAGGAATCGCCGCTCTCCGGCATCGCTGCCACATCCCACGGCACGAGTGGGAACACAGAGGCTCTGCTCCCAAACAGCGGCTCACCTGCGCCGTGTCAGGCAAGAGCAAACCTGTCACCCACCTCGGGCACCCGGGCGCGTCTCCAGTGATTTCCAGGGCGAGGCGAGCAGGAGAACCCTCCCACCGCACTGCCCGGGGCGCTGCCTCCCTGTCCGCGGGCTCAGCTCCAGCCCTTGTTTTGCAGCGCGCACGTGGAATTTTATCACCTTCAACAATGGAATCTGTCACCTTCAAGCTGCCTTATTGTAATCTGGGGATTTGTGCCCCGGCCCTGTAACAGGGGCTGGGCTCCTGCCACAGAGCACCGCGTCCCTCCCTTTGCCATTGCTAGCGCCTGTGGGCCGGCGGCGGGAACTTTAGGGACATATTTGGGCTTGTTTCCTCACCGGGATCAGATCCTTAATTGATCTGTCTTCTTTCCTTTCTCTCTCTTTGCCTCCTTCTGTCTCACGTGCATCTCAATCCCCGTCTTCTGATCTGCTTCACCACCCCCTCCGGCTCGGAGAATAAATCCCATCAGACCTGCGGTACAGCCAGGATGCAGGAGGGGATATGGCATTTTAAAGAAGCATAAGTACGTGTTTTAAACGATGGCACCTTCATGTTGCATCAGGTATAAAAGCACAGGTGTTTGAGTCATTGGCTGGTGGATCTTCTCTGTGAGAAAGCGATTTGATAGTAAAGGGAGTGGTGCCTCCTCAGCAGACAGGGCTTGGATGTCACAGCCCTTCAAGTGGGCTGTTGTGGGAGCCTCTTTGTGGGCAGTTTGGGAACCTGGGTAATAAATTAAGTTTGATTAATCTGCTTTAATGATCTGCTAAGATCAGAATACTTGCTGCATTTCTCTAGCTCCCATTGTAGCTGCATTTTTGCTTTAGGGGCTGAGCAGTTCCCTCTGAAATGCAGTTATGTGCATTTGCATATGCATTTGTATGGGCTAATTATAAACTCACCTCAGCGCTGTGATCCTGCACAGCAAAAGGGTTGTCCCCGTTTGGAAACGTCTGCTTTGGTGCAGTAATCAGAGGGATTTTTTTTGTAAAATCATTTGGCCACATCTTTGGGGCTTAGATTTTCAGTGAATAATCAATAGCCGCAACAAAAGATTTAAACAAAAAAAAAGGTGTTCATTGAAGTTTCTCCGCAGGAAAAGATCGATAACATGTATTATTAAATATAAAGAGACTTATGTCTCGAGTTCCATTGCACCACAGCTTATAATAACCCTTCAGAAGCTCGAAGCAGGGCTTTTTTTCATTAAACAAAACGTTGTGTTCCCCTGCTGCCTTCGTTCCAGCAGCATATTGGAAGGTGCCTGTGCCCAGCAGCTCTGGCCTGGAGGGCTGTGCTCACCCCTGCCTGTCGATGCCGTGGGTTATTTAATAAAAATGGAAATATTTATTTCCAAAGTGGATGTGTAAGGGATGTCAGCATGTGAACAGTGGCAGGGAAGCACATCTTCTGGGTGGCAGTTTTAAACATCTGCCTCCTGAGCATCTAAGCAGGACATGGGGACTTGGAGAGGGCCCTGGTGACTAGGGGTGCAGTTGGTGATGGTGCAGCTCATCCCCAGGTCTCCCACATCCAGTGGTCCCAACCCTGACCTATCCCCTCTCTCTCTGTGCACTTGGACATTTTAGGGCATGATAGTGGTCTCTGGGACTGGGAGTACAAGGATTTCCAGCACCACCGGCGAGGAGCTGGGGCAAACCCCTCATTGCTCTGCGTCCCTCCGTCGCTGGGTGTTCCGGGAGTGGGACTCGCAGGCCAGCGCTCCGAGGCAGCCAGGAAGGCTTGGAATAAAGAAATGCTTCAGTCCTGTTTTCATTCCCCATGGTCAGGTTCCAATATCCAAATTGGGATTACCAGAGTGAAATGCAGTTGGGTTTTGCCTCTGCTGACCTTCAGCAGCAGCTGTTCCAGCCCTGGGTCCTTGGAGAGCTCTGGGGATGCACCTCTGTGTGATGTGTCAGGCTGATATTCCTGCCTCCAGCCTGTCCTAAGCCAGGACTGACATACCCAACTGCAGAGGTTTTGTGACAAGCCCGTGGAAACCTTTTCTCCAGCACATACAGATTTTTTTTGCAGGGCAGAAATAAGCAGCAATGCAAATATCATTCTCTGTTTTGTTTCCCCTGTCTTTTTTCCCCCTTTGCTTCAGGAAAGCAGGAAGAGGCGAGGAAGGATTGACACCTATCCCGCCGAGGGCCTTTGCTGAGGTGCCTGCTGGGAGCACTCGCTGGGTGTTTCTCCCTAGGCAGGAGCTCTTTTCGTTTTCTCGCTGCCTCACAAGTCACACCGAGGTGCCTGGAGAAGGATTTGCTGCTTGCTTATGAAATCCATTCTCCCTCGAGGATCTGCTCTTTCCAGCTTGATAAACTTCTAATTCTTGCTGTCTAATAACACCGAGGGACTGTGTTTTGTGCCTCGATGAGGATTTTGTGATTGATGTTCACCGGCACTTGCAGGAGACCAGTAACCTCATTTCATTTTTGACAGAACATCGGGACAAGAGCTCTGGCTCCTTCCCCCTTCTTGGTCAGGTATAAATGAAAGAGAAAGTGAAGTGGATCTCATCTGTCCAGATCTACTCTCTCACCGTGTTGCTCGACTGCTGACACTGTGTCTGCCCCACGTGGCTCATGGGCACGTGGTCAGAGGACACGCTCGGCTTATTTCTGCTATCGCTGTGTTATCTTGTTTTTATTCTTGGTTCTCTGCACTGTCTGGGATGTTTGGAAGGAGCTGCTGTAACTTGGCGTGGGAGTAGATGGCTTAAATATTACCTCACAGAGTCCATGTGAATTTAGAGTAGATAAGGATTGGACCCCAAATGACTTTTTTAACCCATTCCTGTATTTTCTAGTTATTTCCCTCTGCTCTTTCTGCTCTATTTCCATCAGATTTGAGATGTTTTATGCTTAGACCAACTTCATCTGTGATACCTGAACAGTTTCTACATGGCCAGTAGAGAGATCTTGCACTTAAGCACATGCATGTCCACACACAGGTACCCCCTCTGATGAAGGGCTTGTCAACATAAGAAATCCCAGAGGAAAAACACCCACAATGAGGAATTCACAGAAAATACACTAGGTACTATTAACCAAGGTAGCCAGGTGATATCATTCACCAAACTGTGACACTGTTCTCATAGAGTAAATATCATTTCCCTTTAAAAATCCCTTTTCTTTTAGAGCACCTGTACTGAGAGGGAGAAGGTGGAGGAGCCTGTGTGCATACCCTGCTTCCCCTGCTGTTACACAGATTCTAAACACAGGTTTGGTTATTCCTACTATATGTTTATTTTTCCTCTCTGCTTTCTTCCTTTGAAGTACCTGCTTGTGTTCTCAATGAAGAACAGCTGAGAGATCAGGAAAATGGCTTAAGCATTCAGTGGGCTGGAAGCTGTTTGGATTTCAAACAGTGCCTGGGAGAGCTCTGCACAGTGCCTTGCTGCACAACCCTCCTTCTGTCACCGGCCGAGGTTGCCGTCCTTTGTTCCCTCCCTGTAACTCTCCAGAGCCTTCAAGGGAGGGAAAAGAAGGATGAAGGAGGTGACTTTAATTTCTCTTTTTTAAATCCCCCCAAGTCCTCCTTTAAAAAGCCACAGCACAGCCCTTATGGGCCATCTGCCTTTATTTCTCTCGTGCTCCTTGGCTTTGTTTGTTCCTCGTTTCCCCTCTGTGCCCCTTTGCAAACCTCGGATCCTCGGGAGCCATGAGCAGGACCCAAGTGCCACCCGAAGCTGCAGCTCCCCCTCTACAATCTGCCAAGGAGGAACTGCCCACAGGACACTCCAGCACAGCCTCTGGAGTTTCTAAAGCCATTTTTGTTCAGCAATTCCTGTTGTTGTTGTTCCTGCTGACCTCAGCGGGCTGTATCTTTTCCAAATGTTTCTGACGTTTCTCACAGGGTAATAATCTATTAATGTCACAGACAAGGATTCTGCTGACTTCAGTTTGGCTTCTGTTTCCCATTGGATGGGCTCCTCTCTTTATGGGGGAATGCCTCCAGCCAAAAAGAGAGGAAAAAAAACCCCAGCCCTGAGCTAAGTGAAACCAGGCCCGAAGGGAAGCGCGTTGCAGCCGCGTTGCCTCTCGCTGGCTTCTGTTCTGTGCTTGGGGATGTGCCAGACTCCAGTGCCTCCATGCTTTTGATTCCTGTTTATCCCCGGCAACATGATTGTCTATAATTATATATAATCTCCCCCTTGTTTACTCTTCTTCCTCCAGGTCTGAGCACAAGCTCGATGGCAACTCTCAGCTCCGTCTGCCGGGGCTGCAGCTCCAACGCTCCTCACCATCCTCCACCTTCTCCTCCAAAGTAACAAAGCCATTGGATTTCCTCCCACCCCTTCCCCGCGCTCCCCCTCCCCCTCGCTGGCACCGGGGTTATTTATACAGAATGTGGAAACAATTTGCAGGAAAGTGAACAATGTAAGCGGGAGTGAGGGAAGGGAGACAAGTTTGTTGTGCACACTGAGAGCCCCAGTGGTGAAACGCTGCTTTTTGGGGGGCTGAGAGAACAGACTGTTTTCCTTTCTTCCTTCTCCTCTCTTTCACCATCTCCCTCAGCTCTTTCCATCTTGCCAGAGTCGGGTCCAAACCAGAGCAACCAGATCTGAGTGCGTGTTTTGGAGGAGGTTCAGGTTGGATCCCTCCCTGCATCCCAGCCCCGTGAGGCGGTGTCTGTGTACTTAATCCTCTCCGAGGTTCTGCTCTCCATCGTTGCTGCTCCTGGATTAGCATTAATGAGGAGCATGTGTGCTCAGAGGTCCCGCTCCAGGCCCCCAGAGCTGCAGCACTGGGTTTAGACACAGCTACTCCGAGGAACAGTTCAGCTGAAACAGAACCATTCCTGGGAGTGAACGAGGCAGGAACTTTTTGCAAAGTCTAATTTCAGTCTTTCTCCCCTCACCCACTGAGTATTAAGTTTTCAGGACATCCCAGCACCTCGCTGGCTCCACTGTGAGTGTCTGGGAATCAGGAAGTTTACCTGAGTTCTGCTGGGGCTGAGGAAGCTGAACCAGCACTGACTCGGCACTCAGAGCAGATCTGGGATCTTCAGCTGGCACTCTGCACCATGAAGTCCTCAAAAAGAGGTAATCCCAACCCACACACCATTTGGGGAAGGGCCATTGGTGTTGCAGAGCCAAGGGAATGTTATCCCGGGTTGTTGGGGCAGAGCAGCTGCCTTGGCCACAGTGGGTGCCTCAGCCACTCCTCCCCTCCCAGGAGATGCAGCCTCCCTTCCCAACAGCCTCCAGACTTGGGATGGGATCTGTGCAGTTGTGCTGAGCTGGTAGGGCAGGGCCAGGGAGTTGCCAAGTGGGACAGCAGTTCCTCCCTAAACTGGGCACATTCCTGGCTGAGAACTGGTGCAGCAGATCCACTGTGATCCGCTGGCAGAGGGACAGGTGGAAGGAACATGTGGAGGGCTTTTCCTCCCTGAGAATCCATCCTCTCCACATTCCAGTTCTTCCTGCTCCTCCTCAGTCATTGTCCACACACGGAGGGTGAAGTTTCTGTGGGTGTTTGTTTGTGACATGCCCCATCTGCGCTCCCACATGGAATGGCAGGGATCTCTGGCCAGGATGGCCCTTCCAGAGCCCCTGGCACAGCAGAGACCATTCCAAATGCTGCTGCTGCTCCTTTAGCCAGTTCTTGGCTGGAATAACAACTCCAGGTGTGAAGGGCAGAACGAGAGGGAGCAAACACACTTTGGCCACCGATGTTTTGTGATTGGGGCAGTTCAGCTCTTTGGGCTCTTTTGAGTTTCACTGACTCTGAGAAGGGCCCAGGAACAGCAACAACTTCTGTGTTCTTTCCCCAGCCAGACACCAACACTGCACTGGGAGGCTGCAGCTGGGAGCAGGCAGGACCAGGACGCAGCAGTGCAGGGCTGGGGCCCGACAGAGCCGTGGGGATCCCGGTTCCCACTCCAGCCACACCGTGTCCGTGATCCACAACCTGTCTGCTTCCCATTGCCTGGCAGGAGCCTGGCAGTGTCTGCAGCCTGCCCAGACATGTTGCACACTGTGCTTGGCTGTCTGGCAAAGAGCTGGGATACGGAGAGTGCTTTGAATCCATCAGCTTCTGGAGAGAGAAGCCTCCCCAGTGCCTCTGGCAGCCCTTGCAGGCCCAGGCTGTGAGGACAGCACCTCTGGGTTGCAGGGCAATCTCTGGGCACCCCACTGAAGGCCTCAGGGCATGCAGACATTCCCAATCTCTTTCTGACTCCCAAGGGTCCTCCCTGACTCCTGGAAAAATGTAGCCTTGAGTTAAACTGTGTGGAGAGCTCGCATTAGCAGCACAGGTTTGGGCAAAGTGGAGGCTTGTAGCTCCTGTAGAGACCTTAAACTGCAGAGACCAGAGGGATCACAGTAATTTCAGGGAAGCTTGGTAATTTCAGGAATGCTGGTGCTTTTTCCCTTCTGGTTCTAAATGTTCAAATTCTCGTGAAAATATGAGAAAAACTGTCCTTGGAATGACTGTGCAGCTGAAAACATCACTGGCTTTTTGGAATTTCCTCTTTCATCTGGTTATTTTTTTTTTTTTTTAATTATTTTTAGGGTCTTTAGATGAGAACAGATTTGTATTCCTCTCTTCCTGCTGCTCACTTACCACCTGAAATCCTCGGCTGCTCCTTGCAGTTCCCACCACAACGGCGAGCGATATCCCGAGCGGAGCGTTGGAGCTCCAGGTGAGGGGAAGCAACAGCAGCAGATGGGCTTGTAAACAGCAGAGCTCTGGCTCTGCCACAGAGGCCCTGTTGGAGCGGGGAGGAGCGGGATGGTCGGTAAACACGGAGCCGTTTTCATTGTCTGGGCTGCAATGTGTCCGTGTGGGGAGGGGAGGGCGGCGCCGGCACAGCGGCCCTCGAGTCCTGGCACAGTCAGCCATTCCCAGCGCGACCTGCTCGTGTTGGAACTTGCAGCAGATTGGAGAAGACAGGAAAGCGGGGTACGTTTTCCAGCATCAGGGAATTTGTGGGTGATGAAAACAAGATTTCTAGCAGCCCTTTTGCGCTAGTCCTGGTTTCTACAGAGGTATCCTATGGTTTTCCTGCCCTTCTTCCCTCCCCTTGAATTCCTTCTGAAACTGTCAGTCGGAGCTGGGAGTAACTTCACTGATAGAAAATTCCCACGAATCACCCGAAAGTTTGCAGCTGGATGGAGGAAAAAGAAAGCCAGAGTAGAGTCCCCACTGGTGGGAGAAAAAAGGCAGACTAAGGAGGCTCAGTTCCAGAGTTTATTGAGCCCAGAGGGATTTCTAGAGACCACGTGGTGTCAGGTGCAGAAGAAATGAAGGATGATAACCAGCGTGGAAGAGCGGAGCAGCCCAGAACTCCCACAGCCCAGCTGGGCTCCAGAAATGTTGGAGAGGCTTCAACAGCACTTTAATGTGAAGCTGCTGGCCAAGAGCAGCCCCTCCACCTTGTTCTGTCAAGAAAAGGTCCTGATTCATGTCATGTGTGTTCTTTCCCTGGACAGGGAGACTCTGCAGACCCTGTGGAGTGCAGGAGTCACGGAGAACAGAGACCGATGAAAGATGGCTCCAGGCTGGGATTTTGGAGAGGTTTGTGCTTGATCCAGGGTTGAAGGGTTGGTATTTCTCTTTTTTTTGAGACTGGGAGAGGAGAGGTTACTGAGTCCTTGAGTCTTAATGTAAAATGATTAGAATCTGGAACAGATTCCAAAATAGACATTTAGGGACAACTAAATGCACAAAGCAGCTTGGACACCTATCACTGGAGTTCATCCAGTCCTGGATAAAGCCTCTGAAATAGGCAGTGCTTTAACAAAGTACGTATGTCTGGGGACTCAAAATACAAGGAAAAATTATGAGCGGAAGAGATAACACTTTCTCCATTTCTTAGAAAGGGAGAAAATGCCAAAAAGTTATTAATTTTATTCCCGAGACTCTCTCGGCTGGACGAGGATCCAAGGTTAAGGTGATCCCCATAACCTGACACTTGCAGAACAAGTGGGCTCACTGCATCCTGGCACGAGCAGTTCTGGCATTTCTAGGGAGATCTCTTATCCCAAGTAATAACCTCAGAGGTTAATTGGAGTCTGGAAATGAGTTTATTTGGTAGGTGGGCTAGAGGGGGTTTAATTATGTGTTCAGATCAGTGTTGCTTCAAGCATTAATTTTGCCTGGGAAAGGAAGGTGTAATGTCAGGAATGACACTGCTTAGACTGGGAGAGAGTGGGGGACTGGTGAGAGCCCGTGGCCTGGATGGCAGATGAAAATGAGCTCTGATTAAAAGCATCTCTTTTGTTTGTTTTGGGCCAAAAATCCCTGGGCTCTGTGTAAGGCCCAGTTCCCTCACTCAGCAGTTTCTGGACAGTCAGGCTGTCAGAGGGAATCTCTCTGAAATACACGTCTGATTTCTTTTTTTGGCCCTATTTCTCTTTTCTGCTTTGTGTGGTATTCTCCTCACAGCTTTCCAGAGCAGAGTTACTCTTCCACTTGTTCCCTTTTGCCTCCTGCTGAGTCAGTTCCTTTATTTTCCACCATAATTTGTACTGTAGTCACTCCCAGAATCTGGGAAATCATCCCCAGAAGTCTCCCTGTCTCCTGAGCTTACTGCCAGCTCTCCGACTAAAGCTTTTAATTCTTTGTTATAAAGAAGAATAAAAGGCCAGGAAAGTGCACCACTACACCCATTCAGGTGCCATTACCCTGTAATTCTTTCAAAACTCTGTGTGCATTTATAGTCACTGGGAAGTGCTGGAGTGGGAAGCCTCTGGACTAAATCAGTGTGAGCACATGAAAGAGAACAAGTCCTGCATGGGGCAGTGGGTTCTGGGCTGGGTGTGATCCCTGACTCACTCTGAGGGCTCAGGGAAATCACTTCCCTCCTCTGAGCATCTGTTTCCACTCCCCACCTCCAGCTGTGTCCCTGTTTGGACAAGGAGCTCCCTGGGACACAGCACTTCATGTGTGGAGATGGAGCCTCAGTCAATGGAGCTTGCAAGGAGCAGGGAACACAAACTGGGATGAAAGGTGTGTCCAGGCAGCAGGGCAGGATTCCCAGACACGGCTGGAACCCTGTGTGCTGGGAGCCATCGCTGCTCCCACTCCTTGGTTTCTCTCCACCAGTTCCAGCTGCAGTGGTGAGGTGAACTGGCACATCCCCAGTTCCACTGGGGAATGCTGTGAAATCATTAAACTCATTTTGCAAACTCCAGCAGTGCCCAATGGGATCATCCATCCTGCCTGGAACTGCCTCACCTCCCCACAGGTGAAAATCTCCTTATGGCTCCAAGCCTTTCCATCCCATCCCATCCCACCCTATCCCATCCCACCCCATGCCATGCTGAGCCTGCTCCAATTTGCCAGCAGAACAAGCAAACCCCTTTCCTCCCTCCCCCCTTGTCTGAGGAGGTGCACCCCCCCCCCCCTTGGCTTTCCTTCTTCTCTGCAGGCTTTCCCAGAGCCCCTTCCTCCCGTTGCTTGTTCATTCCCTGCACTCCATCCCATGTTTTGCCTTCCTCCCTGAACACCACCAACACCCCACAAAACCCCACCAACACCCCACAACCCACCACCAACCAATCCCATCCCATCCACACCCTATCCACATCACACCCCATGCCTGCTGACCTGCTCCAATTTGCCGCAGACAAGGCAAACCCCGTTCCTCCCTCCCCCCCTTGGTTCGGAGGAGGTGCACCCAGACCCCCCCCCTTGGCTTTCCTTCTTCTCCGCAGGCTTTCCCAGAGCCCCTTCCTCCCGTTGCTTGTTCATTCCCTGTACTCCATCCCATGTTTTGCCTTCCTCCCTGGTTGGATACAGCATCTCACTGGTCCTGCTTCACACTCTGAGCAGGGGTATTAGATGGATTCCCCATAGAGTACAAATTGAATGGAGAGAAGTGGCTGCTTTCCCAGCAATAATTTATCTGATTAAAAAAATACTCCCCAAACTCCCCCTCCTCCCCCGGTCCTAAACCCCCTCCAAAAAGCACATTGGCACCGGGGCTGGTGTTTGAACTGTGTTATTCAAATTGCTGGAAGGGGGATTTAGATGGGAAAATAACTGTCATAGGAGGGTTCTTGGGGGATTTTCCCCAGAGCATCAGCGCTGAAATTCGGAACATGGGTTGTTGTGTGGAGGAGGCAGAGAGTAAATAATTCTGAGTCAAGTGCCTCCGTGATTTCTGCCTTTGCCCTCATCTAACAAACACCTTGCACAGATGCACACATGGTGCTCACACACAGGTTTTCCCATCACACAGGTTCCATGGAGGAGCTGTTAGCAGGAACTCCAAAGCACACCAAGCTGCTCTGCTGCTCCCTGTCTCCTCTCTTTTCTTTGCCTTACCTCAGGCTGATTCCAAATGAAAGAAGGAATATGCTCCCTAAAATGCCTGTCTCCTTGTTTGTCACCTGCACAGGGTTCATTACTTCCAATGCAGCCCGGTCCAAGGCTGGTCATATTCTTCTTCCACCGGAGCCAACATTCCTGTCACAACTGGGGGATGGAAAAGTCACCCCAACATTCCTGTTGTAACTGGGGGATGGAAAAGTCACCCCAACATTCCTGTTGTAACTGGGGGATGGAAAAGTCCCCCGGCCCTTCTGCACCCGCTCTGTGTGTGGGGCTTGGCTGCTGCCTGTGTCTCTGTGGGCGGGAGGCAGGTACTTACATCCCATAGTGCTCCCAGTGTGCCGTGATTTACAACAGGAGCTCCTTCCTGATGCCAAGGGCAGGATTGCTGCTGACATCCAAACCATTCCAGAGCCCTGGCGTGGTCCCAGCTCCAAGGGCTGTTGGCTGATGGACGTTCCTCTGCTCACAGCTGGGTCTGGGCCACTGGGGGAAACGTGAATGGGCCCGTTCTGAGCTTTGCAGCCTCGGAGCATCCTTAAGCCAGTGGCCAGGGCTCAGGTTTCTCTGCTTTTTGACAGGAGTGCTGCTCAGATGAGATCTTTCTCTGCTCCTGGAGGATTTACACTGCCACAAGTCCTCATTTTTTCCAGATGTTTTACCTAATAAATCAAGGAGTCTCATCAGAGGGTTCGGATCCAAAAGCTGTTACCATGACTTCAAAGGCACAGGCTGGAGTGGAAAGAAGCAGAGCAGACATTTTATACCACTCTGTACTCACTGATTTTGAAAATACACTCTGCTTTCAGGAATTTTTTCCTGTGGATACCAAAACTCTACAGTGATTAAATAAAATAGTGCTGTGCTCCTTCAGCAACCTTTCTTTCAAAGGATGGAGCTGCAGGACCCAGGGGCTGTGCACGGCTGGCAGGAGCCAGGATGGGGTTGGTCCTGAGGGGAGCTGAGCTGTGCCAGCCCCTGTCCAAAATCAGGGATCGGTAGCTCAGGTCTGAACTCGCTCCATCTTTTCAAGTCAATACTCAGCTGAATATTTTCTGCCAGTTTAAGCTGGTCTAAGGGATTCTCATGTAAAGGATTCAGATGTTCATCTTCAGATGTTTGGGAGAGCAAAAGACAATAAGAGTTATGTGGCTGCAAAATGTGACTGTGACTATTCAGACTGGTTTGTTCCTTGATCAAGAATGTAACTTTTTTTTTTAATGTAGTGAACCCTTTCTTTTCACAGTGTCTACATGGTGTTGTTTTCTTTCACTGCTCCATTTCTAAAGATAACTGCTCTGTGTTTGGAGAAGCTGTTCTGTCTTTCCAACCCCTTGACAGCATGGGCTGCTGAACAAGAACATAGTGAAGGAAAGCAGCTGATGAAAGAAAAGCTGTTCCTGTGGTAGGTGAGCAGCAGAGCCAGAGGACTGGCTTTTGGTTCCCTGCTTTCCCAGAGCGCCAGCCTGGCTCCGGCTGCGCTGGTGCTGCCCATCAGAGATGCCCAAGCTGGGCTGTGTTCTGGCAGCAGTGCCAAGGGGAGCTGCTCCTCCTCACCCTCTGCCTTGTCTTCCTCTGGATCCCACTGGATTTGGAATCACAGAATAGTTTGGGTTGGAAGGGACACCTTCCACTATCCCAGGTTGCTCCAAGCCCTGTCCAACCTGGCCTTGGACACTTCCAGGGATGAGGCAGCCACAGCTTTGTCTCATCTGCCTCCTGAGTGTTGTCTGAGCAGGACTGAGGGGATGGTGCCAGGCAGGAACAGGCTGCTGGGGCAGGAGGGAGCATGGCCTGGCTGTGGGGAGCCCCTTTGGCCATGGAGAGGTGCCCAGGTTGAGTGTTGAGTCTCAAGAGAGGATTTGGGCTGTCTCCTGCAGCAGAGCCATGGAGAGGGAACTGGGGGTACCTGCAGCAGGGGATGCAAGCAGAGACTTTGGCTTGTGCTGTCTGAGGGTTCTGGGATGTGAATAAGTTGTCACTTAGGGGAATTGGGGACTGTAGCTCTTAGAGAGCTGTGAAAACACTGTGCGGCCCCCAGGAAGCACTGTAGTTCTGTAAAACAGACTTGGGATGTGAATTCACTCCTGCTACACTGTAGTTTGTACTTTATGGGTCCCAGGAGCAAGAGACCATTTGGTCTTGCAACGTGTTTAGCCAGATCTTAGGACATCACCATGGTGGCCCAAGGGGTGGATGTTCCAGAGGAGGGGATGTCCTGCTGCAGCCCCATGGAAGGGAGAGCCAGGGACAGATCCTGTGTTGTAATGGACTGAAAAACCACCTCCTCTAAATATTGACATTCAAATAACTGTCACCACGATACTGTTTGTTCCTGCCACAGGCTTCAGAAAAATTGCTGCTTGTCTTCCCTCCCCCACAACGCTGAATCCCAGCACCCCAGACTGTCGTGACTGCCGGGGATTGGTGACATCTCGAGTGACACGTGTTGGAGCATCAGAACAGAGTGGGAGCAGCACAGCTTGGCTCCGGGAGCCAAAAATAGGTACTATCATTGCTGAGCTGAAGCCTCCCTTCTCCTTCCCCACCCAGCCCTGCCTCTCTGGCACATGCAGCTCGTAATCGTGGTGTTCCCGCCGGACCAAAGGAAAACCACATTCCTAAAGCAAGCAGGGCGTTAAGTAGTGGCCATGCTTTGGAGGCAGGGAATGTTATGACACGGATCCTAAATTAGTGAGCATCAGTGATGATGATGGTTTGCAGATTTCCCACAGGGAATGGGTGTAGAAAGGAGCACGGCTCATCTGCTGCATTGCCATGTGGAAAAGCATCAGAGACACACCATAAAATAGGGAGTGTGAACTCCTTTCACTGGACAGCTGCTCAAATCCTTGTAATTGAATGACTGAGTGATGAATGTAGCACGTTGGGTTTTTCTCTGGATCCTTCCTCTCCTTTATTCTGTAGCTCTGTGAATCTCAGTCACGCTTTCACCTGGGTTTTTCAGTCTGCTCACTGGAGTATTTGTCTTCTGCTGACCCCCAAAAGCACCATTTCATTAAAAACCCTGACTGTTTGGGAAGGGTGACATTTATTCACAAAGGTAAGGCTCTTTGAAGGTGTCTGCTCCTTTGGTAGTGAGTGATTCAAATGAGTTCCCTTTCAGCATTCCTGTCTCACTGCTCCCAAGGCCACACAAAGGAGGAGGGATTTGCAGGGCCGTATAAATCAGGGTTTGTTACAGGGACGTCAAACACAACTGCACCATGGGGTGTTAATGGTGAGCAGGTGAGGAGTCAGAGCAAGTCAGAACCAAGGAACAAAAGCCACAAAGCTCCTGTGTCTGGCTCTTGATGCTTCCCAAAAGTGCAGTGTCTGCACACTCCTGCTCTGTGCTGGGAAAGCTCGGGGTGTTACACTGATCCATATCACAAAGTGCTCCAGTACTTGGATGAGTAGGTTTGGTGGGAACATCTTTGGTTCTCAATTTCTCCCATCAGGAGAGATCTAAATGAAGCTGTATGAGCACATGTCCAGCCCAGGTCTCTTCCCAACACCCAGCTCACTCTGCTGGATTCGTGCTTGGCAGAGGCACTGGTGACCAGGCCATTGGACACAGGTTGGATTAAACTTCCACTGGAGTAGAGGAAGAAAACTCCCAATCTTTGTGCAGGCAAATGGGAGTTTCCTCCTTTTCCAGCAATTAAATCCCAGTGCTGACTCCACTGAGTTCCTGAGTGCTGGAATAAGAAGTGATTGGGGGTTTTGATGTGCAGCCTTTGGACAAGGGGCCAGTGCTCATGCTCTCCCCCTTCTTCAAGTCCCATGAGCATTTCAGGTTTCCAGAGGTTCTCACTTGCTCTTTCCATGCCCTGCTCATCTTTCAGACTCCAGGCTGCAGGATGGACCATGAGTCCTGAAGGCAGGTTTGTGGGCACAGGGTGTGTGGGGATACCTGGGGGGAGTTTTCTCTCCCAGAATGATCTCACAATCTTTGCAGCTTCCCAAATACCTTACAGTCCAGGAGTGAAGCTGAGCTCAAACCAAAATGAAGCTGTTAGAGCTTTAAAATGGTCCATGAAACTCCCTTTTACAGGAGGAGTTCAGGGCAGTGGAAGGTTTCAGGGATTGGATGTGGCTCATGAGCCAGGATCTGGGATGAGCAGGGGTCCCTTGGACAGGCTGCACACACGTGCCTGGGCATGTCCTCGAGCACATACCACTGTGGTTTCTGGACTAGTTTTTGTTATTTCTCAATATTCCCACTAATATTTAATGTATTTCTCTTGGTTGCTGGTAGTTTCAGCAGTGAAAGTGCTGACTCTGATGTCCTTCTGGGACGTGACATTGGCTCGGGACAACCCAACAGTTTTTGTGTGGGCTTCCAAAAAATGTTCTGCCCACTGGTCTCCAATCCCAAGAACATTCCTGGCTTCTCTGGTAATATCCTTAAGCACACCACTGATAGATTTTTGTGTAGATGAATGACCTGACAACTCCAAATATTATTTATTTTCCAGGATTTCTGGGTCACTAGAGTGATGGGTCAGGGAGGACTGAGGTGCAGCTGGATAATGCCAGATCCCAGCCAGTGGGGTTCATGTCTCCCTTCCAAATCAGGCCAAGCACAGCCCTGCTCCTCCTCCTCAGCAAAGGGGCTGTGTTAGGAAGTGGGAGCTGGGAGAAGGGGGAGTGTTGGCTGGATCTCATGGTTGTTCTCTGGAAGGTTTTAGTGATCCTTAGCTTCCATAAAGGAAGGCACCTCCTGGAGCTGGGAGAGGTCCTCGCTCAAGGAGCTGAGCAGGGCCAAGCTCAGTTGCAGCCCTGGAGTCCAAGATTCACCTTTCTCCAGCACATTACATCTCTCTGAATCCCAGGGTTAGATGGGATACTGGGGAGAAATCCTTCCCTGTGAGGGTGGGGAGGCCCTGGCACAGGTTTCCCAGAGAAGCTTTGGCTGCCCCATCCCTGGAAGTGTCCAAGGCCAGGTTGGAAGGGGCTTGGAGCAACGTGGGATAGGGGAAGGTGTCCAGGGGATGGAACAGGATGAGATTTAAGGTCCCTTATAACCCAAACCAGTGTGGGATTCTGTGATTTTCTGAATCCTCTCAGTGCCCTCAGGCTGCCCCTGTTATCTGATGTCCTCTTTAACCTTTTAGTTACAAAATAGAAGCTTTTTTGTGCCAGACCTTCCCCCCTGGGTCCTGAAGAGGGATCACTTGTTTAACAGTGACACTGGGAAACACCACAGAAGTGTTACTGTTCCCTACTGCAAGAAAGAGGGAGACTTAGGGCTGGATCCAAGCAGACATCTGAAGGGACATTTACACAAAACTTAGTTACCTTAGTCCAAAGTCCTGATCCTGAAAAACCTGCTCTCAGCTTTCCCTGCTGCAGGAGCTGCCTCTGCAAGGCACACTCTCAATTCTGAGCATTTAACTTCTTCTTCTGCCCTCTCAAAGGCACTCGAGGGTATGTCTTCCCAGACAGACCTTTCCTGATGGCAAGACTGGTCTTCTCCCTAAAATAGTTGGATCAAAATGACCTTGGTCTGGTGGAGGAGGGCGGTACCTTCTTCCACTGCCCCGGGGTGCTGGTGGATGCCCTGTGAGTGCAGTGCAGTCCTCAAAGCAAAGTCATGTCTTTTTACCTTTTCTAGAACAGGCCAAATGACCCCCAGGACGTTACCCAGGAAGCATCCTGTGTTCAAGACCAGCCTTGAAACTCCTCCTAAAGCTCCTGTGAGGGTCCTTACCCTGCACCTCTTGGGAACAAAGAGGATTTATTTGCATGACTCTTCAGCGTCTCCTGCCCAGGGATTTGTGTGTTAACTCTGAGTAGCATCATTACCTCGCTGGAGTTTGGGGCACCAGAGGGTTCCAACCTGCACTGCAAATAGGGCAGCCCCACTGGCATGAACAGAGTCCATCTGGAGTGTAAACAGTCTGGTTTATTAGGGAATTCACCTCTTAGCAGTCACAGGAGTAAGGACAGAGAGGTGTCACTTCAGGTTCCTCTAGAAGGGGATGGGGAGAGCAAAACTACACCCAGCTAAGACTGTAAGCAAAGACTAAACTACCTCTAATTGCAACCAGGGGAAACACTCGAGCAGAGAGCCTAAAAGTGCTTTACAAAAAGTCTAAAGGAAAAGCTTTTTGTACAAGATTAATCTTTCTGCCTCACTGGGGTCAGCAGTGGGAGTGCAAGGAGAGAATTCAGCACAGTCAGCACCGGTCTGTAAAGATGTATGTCCAGCTTTGCATTTCATCCTGTTTATCTGGGGCTATTAATTAGCTCCTTTCAGTTTTCCTGGGAAGATCTGTGTGTTAGGGCAGCTGAACACTCCTAAAGATCTGTCATTGATTGCTTGGGCAGCTAAATCGGGTCGACAGTTCACTACTCAGAGGTGTCTTAACTTTGCATCCTTTTCTGCTGGGGCAGGAATTCCAGGGATGACTTCAATCTTCTTGTAATGTGCTTGTACTCCTTGCTTTCCTAATTTCATGCCTAGGTATGGCATTTCCATTACAAAGGAGCTGTGTTGGTTGAGCTCTGCAGGTCTGGGTCTTTCAATAGCTGATCAGAGCTTCTGGTCATGTGCTTCTGCTCTTTTCCCTCAGAACAAAACATCAGCTACTCAGATCCTGGGCTATCAAAGCCCCTGGAACAGTTCAAGTGCCAAACAGAGCCCCAACGGCAGCCTGAGGAATGATGTTTCCCATGGGGGCTGTGGAATATGCACAAACGTATGGTCTGTTTTCCAACGTGCCTGTCAGAGCCCTGCTGGTGCCTCCAGCAGAGAGAAATATTTGGCATAGGCCATTTCCCCCCAAACTTTACTGCTTGCAGGAAATAGAAAGTGTTCTTTTCCAACCTATTTATTTGTGTTTGACTGTAATCACAAAGGGTTGTGCTTTTCCCCTTTCTCTGGTGACCCATGGGTGTCCACTGCTGTCAGTTCTGCATTTCCTCTTATCTTTCACAGAGCTGGGAGCCTTTTCACCCCTTCCTCTGGTGTCAGCTGTACTCCACGTAAAAATTCCATATGGGAGATGAGCTTTAAGGTGGGTGTGCTCCATTCAGGTTTACTCAGCACCGTGGGCAGCCTTCCCTATTTTTTGTTTGTAAATCCACATTCTCTTGTTCAGGTACCTGGGGAAGGTGTTCTGATGTGAGCAAGGCCTTCCAACACAACTATATGTGCTGCTGACTTTCCAGACCATCCATCCCTTTTGCTGCCTGTGTTTCCCCATACATTTAACAAGGGATCCCTTTGGTCAGAGGGAAGGTCCCCAGTGTAGGGGCTGACTCAGAGCTGTGCCACTGCTCAGTTCCAAAAGTCTGCAGGTGGCTTTTGGGGGAGTGTTAATTAAGTTCCTAGCAGTGCATAAGTTGGTGTTCAACTTTAATTAATTAATATCCATTTATCTTTCAGGCTGTGGTTTGTACCCTCCTGCTGCAGTGTCACCCCACCCGCCCCAGGCCCATGAAATCCAGACAGGGAATGTCCACACTGGAGCTGTGTTGGCATTCCCATGTTCTTGATCACAGAATCGTGGAATCCCAGAACCGTTTGGGTTGGAAAGGACCTTAAGGCTCATCCAGTCCCACCCCCTGCCATGGGCAGGGACACCTTCCCCTATCCCAGGTTGCTCCAAGCCTCCTCCAACCCGGCCTTGGACACTTGCAGGGATGGGGCAGCCACAGCTTCTCTGGGCAACCTGTGCCAGGGCCTCCCCACCCTCACAGGGAAGAATTTCTTCCCAATATCCCATCTAACCCTTCCCTCCTTCAGTTTGGTGTCAATTTTAGGTGAAGTGCAAGATTTCTTGGCTTTGTCACATCTAACAGGGTTGGCATCACTCACCTGCCTCGATGGAAAATTAGTAAAACCTTTCATGTGTCAGAACTGCCTGTAGCCAGGAACAGGAACAACTTCATCTTTCTGGTGTGGAAATTGCTCACAGTAAGGGATCTGTCCTGCTCCATGTCCGAGTTCCCACTGCTCCCTGTGCACAGCGGGTGCTTCTGCAGGGGGGTTCTGGAGGCTCCACACCCCGTGGGCTGCTGCATTTGCCTGAAATTGGATGCAATTAAAAAAAAAAAAGTGAATAAGAGAACAGTAGTGTTTTTGAGGTATGTCTTTCAGTGGTAGTGTTTCACAGCTTTCTTTCCAAGCTAAGTATAGCCCATGAGCGAAAACACACATTGACAGCAGTAGTAGCAGTAAACATGAAAGAAACGTCAGTGATACTATTCCTTGTCTTCCCTTATGCTGCCTTGTCCAAAGGCAGCGCTTCCCAGAATGTCCTGGCAGCCTGAGAAGTGGTGGACACCGCAATGACACCCCAGAGGAGCAGCTGAGTGCTACTGATTGCTGGTGAGTGGGTGGGAGGTCAACAGGAAAACACCAGACTCCCGTCTGAAAGGACAAACCCAGCAGATCCTGGAGCAGCCATCAGCCTGAAGGAGGGGTTAGAGGCAGATTGCAGCCATTTGGGACTGGGAAAACATGAGATTTGTGAGAAACCTTTTCTCCCTCTGTCAAACCTCTCTTATTTGTTGCCTGCCTCAAAGGGCTCGTGGCCGAAAAATGCCACTGCTTTGCTTCATAGAATCTAAATGTTCCAATGGCACAGACAGAAACCTCAATCTCTGCTCAGCCCTCACTGTAGGTGTTGGAACACAGAAGGAGGGTCTTTTTGACAAATTGATTTCTGTTTAACACCTACACTTCTGTGCTTTCAGAAATGAAGGGCACTTCTGATAACTTCTCATAGCCTGAACTTCTTTCTCTACCAATTCCCCATTTTTAGCAATGTAAATTTGTTCTGAGCATCTAAATTCCCTCCAGTTTTTGGTAGTGATCTTTTTTAGCTGTTTTCCTTTGGAGATGTGAAGGCACCTTCCTTGTGCCAAAAATGTCCATTGCCTGTACAGCATGAGAGCATTTTCCTCTGGGATTTCCCTGCCAGCACGTACCTTCCACTCTGGGAGGAGGAAATGCCATTTCAACCCTTGGTCCTTCTAAGAGCATCCCTCAAAAATGTGTGTTATTGGAGGGGGGGCAGGTGGAGCAGCAGCCTGAGCAACATGCATTGTGGTGGTCCCTGGTCACTGGGAGGTGGATCAGCACTTTCACCTCTTTTTGGGGCAGAGATGTTCCAACCCCCCCAGTCCCTGTCGGTGTGAGCTCACAGCCTTTCCTTCCCCACCCTTCCCTCTGCTCCGTTCGGGATCTCTGAGAGCCTTTGTGTCTCACTTGGACACAGAGTCACATTCTGAGCTCTTTGAAGCACATTTCATATTTCTTAGAATCAATAAACTTCACAGGCAGTCGCAGAAATCCCAGGCAGTCAATAAGTCCCGTCAGGCTCCCTCAGGAGTGAAAGCAGAGCGTTGTAAGGACATTTCTTAGGGAGCTGCTGTTCAGGCATATTTGTTGTTTCAATTAGTCTGATTTAGGGGCTCAGTCAGGGGCTGCAGCCTGTAGCACTCACACTGTAATTTGATTTCTAAAGCTGCCGTTCAGGTACTAAGGGAGTAAAACTGTGTGGTAAAACCCCAGTGTGACAGCAGCTGTGGAGATCCCAATATGCCTGTCAGGGAGATCCAGGGAGATCCCAGGGTTCACCATCACCTGCATTTCACATCCCACATCCCATCGGAGCCCTCCTGGCTTTGATCACCGGTCCCCTGGGAGGAGCATGGAAAGGTGGGAGAATTACGGTGTTTTTCCAGACCTGTTCCCCTGAAGGGATGTTTAAACAAACAACAAGAAAAGAAAGTCAAATGAATGTGTGTGAGAAGTGCCAGACTGGCAGCTCGAGCGAGTCAAACTTCACCTGTGTGAAGGCTGCCCATGTTTTATGTGCTGGAGCTGTCAGTGCAGCACCATTCCTCGGCACAACACGTGTTCCTTGCTTTTCAAACTGTCCCTGTGTGCCCACGTTGCTCAGTCCTGCAGCTGAGAAGGAGTCAGATGGCACTGATGGAGGTAAGGAGCTGGGCTGCTGAGCACTAGAAAGGAATGTTGGCTAATTGGCCCTGGTTTTGGAGATGCTTAAAAATTGCAAGAGGTTAGAAATGATTTAAAAACAAAATATATGCAGAACGAGTCAAGGCGTAGCTCTGCTTTCAAACTAGAAACTGCCTGGAACAAAGCTCGTGTCTCTCCTTAGGAAATGAGGGCTGTGTCCCTGTTGTTGCTCCCTGGGAAGAGGCCTCCATGCTCTCTCTGACAGCTACCTCACCAAGGTCTCCTCTGGACTTTCTCAGCACTCCCAGGTGCTGCAGCACAACCTTTCCTGGCAGGAAGGGGCTTTGGGAGGCACAGACCCTGTGGTGAAAGTCCCTCAGGACTCCAGGGTCCTTCAGGGGCACCTTATGAGCCTGGGAAGTGGCAGCCCCATCTAAACAAGGTCTCGTTATGAAAAGTTTAATTTTACAACTGTTCGAGCTTGTCCCTCTTTCAGATGGCATGGTAAAAATGAAGTATGATATTTCTTCCATGAAAAATCCACTATATTTATAGGAAATTCCTTCCCTGCATTTGAAGGGGTGATGAGGTTTGGAGGAGAATTCCAGTTAGAGGAAGCAGAGCCAAAACTATGACTTTAAAGGGCTGTCTGAGAGTGCACGAACAAGATCATTCCAGGGATTCTGTTCCTGTCCCAAGCTATTGTCCAATGTCTTTATTCTTTCCTGCTTCTGCAGCTCCTCTTCCCTGTTGTCACTACATCATAGCAATGACTGGTTTTGAACTGTTCAATTAGAGGACTAAGGTAATTTTGTTCACATTTGCTATTCTGTCTCTGTGCCTCCAGTTCCTGCCATTCAGAGCATAGGGACACTTGAGCCACTCTTTTCAAACAGGGGCCCCTGGAATCATTATATCTGTATATTCAGTTTTAAACACCCACAGTCGTGCTCTGAGATACAGGCCAAGAGCAAAGGACACTTGTGGGAGTTGTAGGTGTTGACACAACAGTCAAATCTATTTGGTCTCAAGCTTTATGCTTGGACCTGCTCATCTAACTCTGGCTGATCCATTTGTGTCTCACACGGGTCACGTGGCTTTTTCTTTCCATTTCCAGGAGTCCCCAGATGCAGGTGACCAGCCCCCTGACCAGCTGGTGGGTACCAGAGCTGGAGAGGGATGACTGTGTTCCATAGCCCTTGGGAAGGGTGCCTTGGCCTCCTGTCAGTGAGTGCAGGGTGTTTGGGCTGTGTGTGTGTGTGTGGGAATGAGGAGCAACTGCCACGTGCCAAGAACGAGGGGAGCGAAGGATTCCCACCATATGATCCCACAGTGAACTTTTGATCCATCAGCTCATCTGATCCACCTGATCCATCAGCTGGGCCTTTCAGGTAACACACAGAAAAGGGCTGTGCTGCTGTTGGTTCTGAGGTTTGTCTGTAAGGTGTGCTGGGCTCTGCATTTTCCAGGCATCCTCTGCTGCTGGTCTAAGGTTGTTTCTTTGGTTTTCCAAACCCAGAGGCAAATGACTGTTTCTTTGTGCTAAGCATCAATTCTCTTCTTTTTTTTTATCCTTTCTCCTCTCCATGGTTTTCCTCTCCATTTTGAATTCTCTCAGACTGCTGCAGTCTCACTTCCCTGAGACTTACTTCCTGGCACAGACACCAGGAGAAAATGTGATGGTGTTTACAGAGCACTGGGACTTGGGAGATGTGAAATGTGGACCTGCTGCTCTACCTCTGGTGACTCACAACACCTCTCTGTGGTTCTGCTTTCCTGTCAGGATAACCTGGACTAAAACCTCTCTAGGGAAAGGATTTGCTTTCCCTGTGTGATCCTACGGTGTCTAATACAACAGGACCCAACCTCAGGTAAGACCTTTAGGCACTCCCATTATATGAATGAGAACAAGATTATTGGTGTCAGTAATTAACATTCTTGTGGGATTGTTGGAAATGCTTTGGGATAAACACCACCTGGAATCCTCGCCTGGCTTATGTGGTTTCTGAGCTGCAGAGGAGGCTGATCCTGTTTGCACGAGAGGCCATGGACCATCTGTCTCCTCTCACTGGATGTGCAAAGTCTTTCAGGCCAAAGATGAGATGCAGTAGCTCAGGGAGACATTGGGACACTTGAAAAGTGAGGGCACATTCTGTGGGGAAGAAGAATGGAGACTCAGCGGTCAGTGTGTCCCCAGTAATGATCTCACCTGAGAACAACACTAATGGCAACCAGCAAACCAGAAAAATACCACCCACAGTGTCACTGAAAACACTGTGAACGCCTGTGGCACAGTGTCACCCCAGGACAGGCTTCCAGAGAGGAATCTCTCCCTGCTTACCTGGATGGCAAAAATCCCATTGACTGCAATGACATCAGGATTTCCCCTTGAGTGTTACCTGGGTTTCTCTCCTTCTGGAGAGAAGAGCCATATCCCACATCATTATGCACATCCTAATACCAAATAGATAATTCTTTTCCTTTAAACTGTGGATTGGATTCCAGTAAACCCTGCATTTTGGATTCTAGGTTCCCTCTATCTAGCTCTGCAATCCCTAAATAAACAAACATTGGATTAGACCTCAGCAGCTCCCTCCCTCAGACACAGAAGGCTTTAAAAGCATTTCACACCAACTGCCCTGCTCGTGTTTCAGACTCCGTTAACCACGGATTCAGGGAGCTCCATCTCCCAAACTTCCCAGGGAGCTCACCTCAGTGATTGGAAGGTCTGCCTCCACCTGTGACCCTCTCTGACTCCAGCGAGGAGCTGGAATTGCTGTTGACATCAGGAATGACAGAGGTACGTGCTGGGGTTGGAGGGTTTCTGGCACAAGGCCTGCTAACCCAGAATTTGCTCGGCAAAGTCCGGAGGGTGACTTTTAACCTCAGAGCAGTTTGCAAAACCACACCTGTGACCAATAAATGTGAAAAATAAATGAAAAAAAATAAATCCAGCCCCTACTGAATGATGAAAGCCAGCACACCTCGCTGGGCTCTGGTGCTGGAGTCAGTGTGGAGATCTATACAGGAATAATTGAACAGGTCATCGTTGCCAGGAGTTGTCCGTGGACGGAGCTGATGCCTCACACATGGGGGAGGCAGCACAGCAGGTTAAACTGAAGGGATCTCATAGTTCTAAGTCTTAAACTTAATGAAGCACATCTTTATTTGTGCTGCAGCCCCTTCTTCTCCCCAAATTGCCTTAACTAGCTGCTAGAGGATGCCCAGTAATGGAAAATTCTCTGGATAACAATAAATTGGTGTAACGACTCAGTGTCACCTCACATCCTGCTAAGCAATAGAGAAATCACGGTGAGAAAAACAGGCACAGCCAGAGTGGCACTGAACAGTGGAATCCTAATTCCATCACCCTTCTTGTGGGCCACAGATAACCCAGTGCAATTTACAGCCGCTCTGAAGCGGCTCCAAGTCTCAGCAGGAGTCGGGAAGGCTCAGTGTAGCCTCGGGACTGAGGAGTCACGGAAGATCAGGGGAGTTGTTGTTCCATAACCTTGCCTCTGCACCAAAACCGGTGGGCTGGTCTGGAATGGGAAGCACTCCAAGCAAAACACGACGTTTTAATCACTGAAATGAAGGTCCTCCTCTGGATTTCTCTCTGGAGAACTGTCTGTCTCTGATGATCACGCACAGACTGCCAAAGAAGGTAAATTCTGGATTTAAATCTGTACATCACCACTGTGTGAGTGACACCAGTAAATCTGGGCTGTAAGGCTGAGATATCTCCAAGAAGAGAGAAACACTTTTTCCACTTAAATGACTGAGGTAGAAGAAGTAAATATATTGTCTCCTACTACTGAAGGGCGAGGAAATCATTTATACACATCTGTTACACCTTTGCAGCCTAACAGTGGTGGTTTTTTCAATTCAAGAGTCCAAAAGTTTAGAATTGCCAACATTAAGGTGGCCCGTGTGACTGTAATTTGTCCCTTTTGTGCATTTGCATTATGATCCAGTATTTAATTGTGATTAGATCACACGCTGTTCTTTCAACAGGTTCCCGGCCTCGCTCGTTCTACAGAATAGACTGTGCTCACCAAGCAATAACTTTATTTTCTCCTCGCTGTTCACTGTGTGGCCTGTGCTTTATTTACAGCACACTATTCAAATATTGTTCTGAAGACAGATTTATTCATTTCCTCCTGAGCTTTTTCACGGGACTCATCACTATGGTATCCAAGTGCTTCACAAACTCTAATTCACTTTCCCAACGCTGGAGTGAGAACTGGTGTTGTCCTTATTTTACAGACGAGGAACTCGGGCGCACAGACAGAATAATACAAAAATCTCTTTTCATTTTAGAGATCTAATTAGAAATACTCGATGGCCTGATTTTGTCAGAAAATAGAACATGGTGAAGCATCCAGTTGAGTCAGAACTTGAATACATTCTCAGCTATTGCAGATTTATCTGCAAGTGCTCTTCACTTCTGCAGATCACGCTTTAAAATGTCAGCCCAGGCACCTGGGCAGTGCTGACTGCACAACTAGTACAGTTCTGGGCAGGCTCTCTTTAAGGACTGAGGCCCTTTTCTGGAGCAGCAGTCACCCCTTCCCACCCACAGTGCTGTGCTTGCTCACTCCACAGTTCCTCTCAGGGTGCATAACATACCTACATCTGATTTTTACAGCAAATTAAGTGGAAGTTGTTGAGGCACTTGCCTGGGTTCCCTGGCCTTGGTTCAGTATCTGAGCCAGGCTTATCCTTCTGCACTGGCTGCCTTTATCCCGGTGTTTGATAACTGGGGAGTGTGTTCCTTTGCAGCCTGACTACCGTTGTTTTAATAAATATGTATGTCTTTTCAATCTAGAGATACCCTTAGAAAGCCCAGCAATTTAATCCTGTGCTGACAGGGATGCAGGCCATCAGCAATGTGGAAACACTCCCTGTATGAGGGATGTAGTGGTTGGCACACGCTCCAGCACTCAGAGGGGACGAGGAACGTTCTCAGTGTGTGTCAGACACCTGCTGCCAACAGTTTTCCAGTTGCTCTTCATTCCCATTCCTAAATTCTCACCTTTCTGCTCTGCCTCCCTCCCTCAGTCTGTCACTCCCATTCCTACATCACTGCCCCTAGTGAATTCCCTCTTCCCGTTGTCCCTGCTGCGTCCCACACGCAAACTAGGGGTCCTCCTCCCTCATCCCACTGCAGCTCTCCCATCCAATCCCTGTGCCCAGCAAGTTCTTCCTCAGACACTGTATGGACAGCTCTGGGTGCCCCTAAGCTGCGTGTTCCTCCTCCCGGAAATTCTCTCCCATTCCCACTCTGTTTTTAATTCTTCTCCCAACAGCCTGGCTTCCAGACTCTTCCTTATGAGCTTTGCTTTATCCCTCCCTCCAGGCAGACCTGTTTTTCCTTCCAGCTCCTTGTTCCCTTCCACTGCCCTGGAGAACCTGTGTCTCTCCAGACCCTCCATGCCTGCCAACTTACCTGTCCCAAATCCAGTTCCCGTCCCCACTGTGTGTTACTGAAGGAGCTTCCTGCTCCATGTTTCCCCAGAGGACTGGAAGGACAAGTTCCCTGCTCGCCCTTCCTACCTGCAGCCTTGGCATGGTCCAGAGCAGCAGGGAACTGGAAGTGCAGGTCCAGCTCTGACTCCCACAGCCCTGGGCTGAGATGAGGATGGAACTGCAGGGCAACGGAAGCACTGGGAAGCCTCCACAGAGCACCAGTGGGATTTTCAGGGGGGTTTTCACTGTGGGGCTTGAAGGAACACCTCTGACAAGGTGACTGTTCTCGTCTACAAATTCGACAATCCCTGACAGAAAGAACAAAAGGGGAAAAGTTTATAATTTAACCTGAGGTACGAACATCAGATGCTTAAATTTCAGCACAGCAGTTGCTCTGGCCCTATTAAATGCGACTGAGGGTAGGATTTTATGATGGGAATTCCTAACCAGCTTAATAGAAGTTACACTACCAGTCCTGCCTTTTAATCACTGCTTCCATTTTCAGGATAAATTGCAGCTGGTTGCTGGTAATCCTTGTGGCATATCAGATAGCAGCGTAACTCGGCAAGGGTAAGGTGGAGAAACCCAAACATCCTTCTGAGGAGGTAATTATTCCATTGTGAAAATGCTCCGGGATATTTTTAGTGGCCAAACCCCCTGTTTCCTGACAGAAACATAAAATAATGAAGCAAGTTTCACAAGGAGAAACGCTTCAGACACCTGTACTAGCTGGTGCTTTGCAGTCACGTCAGCGTTTAATTCGCCGCGCGCATCCCTGTGTCCCTGTGCACGGCCAGCCCCACACCTGGCTTTGGGGCACCGTGGGCTGTGCCAGCGCCGCCTTGCAGAAAACCCTCTCCACCAACAAATCTGCAAATCCCGCTGGATCAGGGGGAATTTCACGGGAATATAGAGCTGCCTGCAACAAGAGGGACACCCTCGCCGCACGCACCGAGGTTATCGAGGGAAACTTTCCTTAGCGGGAGTCATACACCCGGTGTAAAAGCCTGGATTTTTTGGGGAACAAATGATTTAAAACTAGTTTTAGAACATTTTGCAACACATTTTTGTGGGGATGTACCCTCGTTTCATGTCCCGCAGTGCCCCAGGGGTCCGGTTATCTCCGGGTTACCTCGAGCACTGGTCCTACATAATTTATGTCCTGAAAGAGACGATTCAATTAGTCAACAATAAAATGAGCAAGGACAGCGTGTGCATTGTAAAAATATAATTTAGTGGGCAACAAGCTGAGATGGAAAAATATAAGGGTACACTCCATATGATTAATGAAGGAGGAATGTATATTTATAGCTCTTATTGTATCCTTTGTAAGCAGAAGGATCCGACAGTAGGACTGGAACCGGCTGGTAACGATGTGGCATTCCAATGATTGGGATTTGAATGGCAAATGCTGTATAAAACTAATTACCCCCAGGAGGATGAAAATACATTTCATTTGCCTTTTCGGAGCATGTTTGGCCTTTTCTTCACGTTTATTTACGCTCGAAAAACACGTTTATTAGGAGGGGCGACATCCCAGACGGAGCAGCGGAGTTACCCCCCAAGAAAACAAGTTTCCACAAGTTATTTTTACACATTTAGCGCGATTTTGGTTTCCTCGGTCGTAGTGGATTGCGCTTCCCAGCAGCACACGGCGTAGGGAGTTCTCGCTTCCCACATCCTCGGGCTCGGCACACAGCGAGGATACCCGGATTGGTGCCGAACCGTTTGCTTTCCCCTGTTTTCACACGCGAAGCACACGCAGGTCCCGCAGCCACGGCGGGGCTGGTCCCGGAGAGGGGAAAACACAGATTTATGGCGTTAAACCCCGGGAACTTTCGTGCCCCGATCGCTTGAAGGGGAATGGGGGAAGCCCCGACGGTGCCCCTGAGGGGAGGGCGGCGGCCCCGCCCCCGCGCGCGCGCAGGCGCCGTGGCGCGCGCTGGGAGGGGGCCGGGCGCGCGCACACCTGGCGCGGGGGTCGGGGGCGGGAGGGGGAGGCGCGCGCGCGCATGCGCGCGGTGAGGGGCGGGCGGGAGGCGGCGCGCGCCCCGCGGGGTCCGTGTGAGGGAGGGAGGGAGGGGAGGGAGCGGCGGAGCCCGGCCCGCGATGGAGTGAGGGAGGGAGGGAGAGAGGGAGGGGGAGAGAGAGCGCGGCCGCTCCGCCCGCTCCGCCCGCCCGCCGCTCTCCCGCCGCCGCCGCCTCCGCGGGGCTCAGCCCGCCCGGCAGCGAAGGAAGGCAGGAGGAGCCCCCCGGGGGAGGGGCTGGCGCTGGGTGCAGCCCGGCTGCCGGGCGCGGGCAGCGGAGCGATGGCGGCGCGGAGAGCCCGGCGGCTCCTCGGCTCCCTCTGCATCGCCCTTCTCCTGGCGCAGCCCGCGCCCGCCGCGCGGAGCGGCTCCCGGAGCCTCCTCACGGGTAAGCGCGGGGGACACCCCGGCGGCGGCGGGCGCGGACGGTCCGGGGGCGGGGGCGGCGCGGGGCGGCCCCGGCGGGGCGAGCGGTGCCGCGGGGCTGAGCCCGCTCCGCTCCGCCCGGGCGGGCACCGCCAGGGGCCACTGCGCGCCTCGGGCAGCGCCGGCGGAGCCTCCCCGCGAACAAGGGGCACCCGGAGCCCCGGCTGCGGGCACTGAAGGCGTCCCCCACCTGTGCGCCCAGCTCCCGGCTCACCCGAGGGCGGGCGGGCTCCGTCCCGGCTCGGGAGCGGTGCTGGAGGCGGCGCGGGCTCGGTACCGGCAACCTGTGGGCAGAGGGGAACTTGCCTGGGAACTGCCGCAGTCGCCCAGAAACGAGCGGTCTGGCAGCGTTTCAGCCGCGGTCGTTCTCACACCTTTTACCATTGTTACCTTTAATGATCCGTGATTGAATCCCGGTTCTTTATAGGCTACGGAAAACGCAGTCTGGCCCAGGTGAGGCAGGAGAAGGCTTTCTCTAAAGCCCTTACATGAGACTATTAATACCGTAGAAGCCTCCCTAGCTTTGCAGCGATGTTATCTGCTCGTTTTGCCAAATACTGGCTTTAAAAAGTAACTTCTTTTTTCCTCCTTGCCAGCAATAAGCTCGTAGGAAGCTTGAAAGAAAATCTGGGCTTGAATGCTGGGATTTAAAAAAAAAAAATAAAAATTCCCCTGTAGATTGATTGAATCTTGGTATTTTAAGAGAAAGATCTGTGCAAATGGAATTTGGAAAAAACCGCTGGTCAAATGAGTGATTTTTAGTAACTTGGCAAAGTAAAAATGGCTAAACTCTGATATTAAATGGTGTAATTGTTCTGTTTCGAATCACATTAGGCACTGATGTCTGTAGTAGTTCTCTTTTTGGACACTACTGATGGAACCATGTGTGGTGACTCCTGTTGACAGGGAATATATTTATTTATTCTCTTACACACTCTAAGCTTTGCAGATTCCAGGCCTGAAGCAGATTTTTTTTTTTTTTTAAATATTGTAGTAGGATTCAAAGATCTACAAAGTACCTGTAACAGCTAAGATACTTTTTTATGTTTAAAATCTTGCCATGTGATGATTCTTTTCCGGTATTCCTGCTCTCCTGACAGCTCACTGGTGTTATGGTTGTGTTGGTTGTTCTTTGCTAGTTTAAAACAATCCTTTGTGGTTTGAGGAAATCAAATTGGCAGGTGAAGTTCTGTCTGTTGGAGCCAAATATGTGAATTAAGTCTGCAAAGGGGGAGTGATGTGCTGAAACAACGCAGAATAAAACCCTCATTGGAGCAGGAATTTAGAAGTATCATTGTGGAAATATGGGAATCTCTGTTGAACTCCCCCTCTCCTCTTTCTCTCCGGTGGAAGGTGCCTTTATGCCGTGTCCATGGGTGCTGTCCCGTGGGATCCCTGCTGAGGACCAGGAGCTGGGCTTTCCCTACCTCAGGGTGTTTGTACCTGGTCTTTAGAGGGAGGGAGAGGCTCTCTTGGTTCTCAGTGAAGATGAGATACTCATGTGTGGTGGAAGAACTTCATCTTAATTCACACTATTTCCCACCTGATTGCTGCTATTTTTTCTTAAATAGGGGATATTCCACATGCTTTTATATCAGCACAGGGTAGGGGAGATCCTGTGGCAAGTCCCTCCCTGCTCGTAGGAGAGGGAGTCAGGCAGAGATGTTCCATGGCATGAAAGTGCTCCCCTTGGTGTTTTAGATGTGAGGGTGACAGTGCCACGTCTTCTGTCCCATGCTTTGGGTGAAGCTTCATCTCTTTAGGATGTTGGGAAGAGCCTCCTTGGGCTGGGGGCTGGAGAGGCAGAGGAACACCAAGTTTGTGGGTCCAGGTGGAGCTTCAGCTGTGAGACTCCCAGCTCTGCTTGTCAGGAGTGAAGTGCTGCTTGCTGTGTTTTTAATGCAAAACCCCACCATGTTGGCATTTTGGTGTGGATAAAAATGCCATAAATGAGCAGAAGTTGCAGATTTGGAAGCCCATGTTCTTTGTATGGAGCTGTGTGTGTTGGAGGGACATTTGATCCCATCTATAAATAGCCGGTCATTGCTCTCTGAAGAAGAAAAGAGTGCAGCTGAATTATTTTAGGAAAAAAAGCTGTATAACTTCATTTATTTGTGTGTCTGCAAACAATAGTGTGTTTTTCAGTCTAGTTGGTTGATCTGCAGATATGGTGAGATGAGATACTGATTTTAGAGTTAGGACGATGTTTCACTTAGCTAAGGGAGTAAAACCAAAAAAATCAGGAAGAAGCATCAAATTAAGCTAAATCTTGCCTGTTTTGTTAAATCTAACTGCTGAATCTTAACTATTTGTTACTGAGTTGAGATTTATGTATAAACTCGGATCTATAAGGGATTGCATTATTGGGAATAAAAATGAAGTTGGTGTCAATTTTTAACAGGAAAGCTGTGATAGCCTGTATATACACCATTAAGATTGCAAATGAGATTATTCAAAAGCAGGAAATTTGTTCTGTCTCTCCCTGGTATTCTCAAAGTCCTTGGAATCGATATGTATTTTGTTGCTAGAGGATAAACTGCCGGTTTGGGAAGTCCTGGTGGAACAGAATTAGCAATTGGTGGGCCTGGAGCTGCACGAGGTGCCCAGAACCGGAGGGGTCTGTGAGCGGCGTGGTGGGAACCACTCCCAGGTGCTGCTGCCAGGGATGCTCCTCCTGGGGGGCTGAGGCTGGAGCACGGATCGTTTGGGGTCCCTGGAAACAGGAGGTCGTCATTTGTTTCTGTTTGGTGTGTGCTCCTTGATTATTTCTAATTATATCGCTGGTTAAAAATAGAGCAGAAATATTCAGGTCTCGGTTACATCCCGAGTCAGCCGAGCACCGGTCTCTCCGCTTGATATTCCCATTCCATATGGACAAGTTGCATGGCTTTTGCACTGCATGTTCATTAGTCATCTAAGAAAATTACCTGACTGGCTTATGAAGCTTTCCTAGTAAACTAACACTTCAGTTTAAAAGCTGTCGGGTGTGTGTACACACCTGTGCCTAATGTTTATCACAGGGAAAAGCAGCAAA